AGCATGATGTTTAATTTATCTTTAATTATATTAGAAAAAACATGATTCTATGACTAATAAATATAAAAAGTGATTATATCATGATTTAGCCACCTAATGTACTTTTTTGTTGTTGTTGTTGTTAATCCTCACTGGAGGATATTTTTGAGAGAGTGGAAGGGGAGCAGGAAGGGGAGAGAAAGAGAAACAGTGATATAAGAGAGACATATCAATTGGTTGCCTCCAGCACACACCCAGTTGAACCTGCAACCCAGGTATATGCCCTTGACCGAGAATCAAACCCATGACCCTTTAGTGTGCAGGCCAGTGCTCTAACCACTGAACCATACCAGCCAGGGCATGGCCAATTGAGTTTTGACAAGGATTCCCAGTCCATTCAACGGGAATATAATTGTTTCTTCAACAAATAGTGCTGGTACAACTGCTTTTCTACACGCAAAAGAATAAATTTGGACCCTTATCTCACACCACATACAAAAATTAACTCAAAGTGGAGCAAAGGCCTAAACTTGATAGCTAAAACTATAAAACAGAATAAGCATTGGGGAAAATCTCCATGAATATGCTTTCATGGATAAGATACCAAAAGCACAGGCAACAAAGGAAAACATAGATTCAACTTCATCAAAATTAACTTTTGTGCATCAAAGGAGACTATCAAGAAAGTGAGAAGAAAACCTACAGAATAGGAGAAATATTTGCAAATACATATCTGATAAGGGCCTAGTAACCAGAATATACAAAGAATTCCTAAAACTCAACAACAAAAACAACACAATTTAAAAAATGAGCAAAGAATTTGAATAGATATTTCCCCAGAGAAGATATACACAAAGCCAGTTAGCACATGGCATGAAAAGGTGCTCAGTATCATTATTCATTAGGGAAATGCAAATTAAAACCACAATGGTTACTTGATCTTGAAAACTGACTGAAATTAAAATTTAAACCCAGAGCCTAAAAGAACCAAACACAAAAAACAAAACAAAAAAAGCCACAATGATACCACTTTATACCTACTAGGATGGCTATAATTTTTTAAAAGTGCCTTTTAATGGAAAATAATCAGTGTTATTTGGTAGATGTGGAAAAATTGGAATCTTTGTGCAGTTAGTGGGAATGTGAGATGGTGCAGCTGCTGTATAGAACAGTTTGATGGTTTCTCAAAAAGCTAAATGTAGGACTACCATAAGACCCAGCATCTCCACCCCTAGGTATATACCTGCAAGAGATGGAAGAAGGGCCCGGCCAGAGTAGCTCAGTTGGTTGAGTGTCACCCTGTGTACCAAAAGGTTGCCGGTTCAATATCTGCTCAGGCCACATACCTGGGTCGCTGGGTCCCCCAGTTAACATTATTCACAACAGTCAAAAGGTGGAAACAACTCAAATGTCCATCAGCAGATGAATGGATAAACAAAATGTGGCATAGACACACAATGGGATGTTATTCAGCTACAAAAAGGAATGAAATTTTGATACATGCTACGTGGAATAAGTGAGACAATAAGACAAATGTTGTATGGTTCCATTTTATGAAATATATAGAATAGGCAAATTCATGGAAGCAGAAAGTAGATTGAGGCTACCAGGAGCTGGGAAGAGAGAGAAATGAGAAGTAATTGCTTAATGTTTACAGAATTTCTGTTTGGGCTGGTGAAAGAGTTTTGGAAATAGTGGCAATGGTTACATAACATTGTGAATGTAATTAACACCACTGAATTGTACACTTAAAAGTGGTTAAAATGGCAATTTTTATGCTATATATATCTTATCACCACCACAACAAAAACTCACTCAAAAAAAGAAAAACACACCACATACAAAGTAAAAGAAGAGGCAATAGATCAGGAGAAAATACTTGCAACATATACAGTAGTCCCCCCATCCACAGGTTTTTTTTCTGTGGCTTCAGTTACCAGAAAATATTAAATGAAAAGTTCCAGAAATAAACAATTCATAAGTTTTAAATTACACACCCTCTGGGCAGCAAGAGTAAATCCCCACCTTCTTGCTCTTTCCTGCCAGGATGTGAATCACCCTTGGTCAGGGCGTCCATGCTGTACATGCTCCCTGCCCATTGGTCATTAAGTAGCTGCCTTTGATTATCAGGTCAGCTGTTAAGCTATCACAGTGATTGTGTTCAAAAAACCTTTATTTTACTTAATAGTGCCCCAAAGTACAAGAGTATAATGGTGGCAACTTGGATATGCCAAAGAGAAGCCATAAACTTTATCAAAGGTATGTATGTATAAGAAAAAACATAGTGTATTTTAATTCGGTACTATCCACAGTTTCAGGCAGTCACTGGGGCGCTTAGGTTGTATCCCCTCAGATAAGGGGGGACTACTGTATAGCCAGTTAGTAAAATCCAGAAGAAAAAAAGAACTTCTACAAGTCAACTAAAGAACATAAAACCCGGTATAAAATTGGGAAATGACTTTTATCACAAGGAGAAAAACAAATGATACACACACACACAAAAAAAAACCCCACATCTATGCACTACTAGTGAAGTGTAAATTAAAGTACAAACAAAAGGTCATTTTTTTCACTCATCTGACTGGCAAAAATTAAGAAATTGAATAATATTCTCAGTTGGTTAGGGTGTGGGGAAATGAAGTCCATCATTCCTGCTGAGGGGAGTATATAGGTCTAACTTTTTGGGAGGGCACTTTGGTTCTCTCTCTCTCTCTCTCTCCCTCTCTCCCTCTCCCCACCCTTCTCCTCCCCCAGACTCCCCTCTCCCCCCCCATCCTTGGACCCAAAAGTTGCACTCCAGTGTGTGGCGGGACAAACGGTTACTTATATCATGGTATCTCCACAAGATGGAATTCAATGAAACACAAAGGAGCTAGATCTGTGTGTCCTAACACTGGAAATATATGTCTGAAATACTTTCTAATACTTCTCAAAATCCAAGAAGTTTATTTTTTGTTTCTAATTTATGATCTAAAAGGTTCAGACTGCTGTTTGCAAACAGTTTTCCCAAATGACACCTGTGGGAGTGGGCTAGGTTTTGTTTTAAATCCTCACCTGAGGATATTTTTTCCATTGCTTTTCAAAGGCAGTGGAAGAGAGAGATGGAGAGAAAGAAACATCAGTGTGACACAGACATACCAATTGGTTGCCTCCTGCACGCACTCAGACCAGGGCCGGGGATCGAGCCTGCACCCGCGGTCCGTGCCTTGGCTGGAATCAAACCCGGGACCCTTTAGTTCAAAGGCTGATGCTCTAACCACTGAGCGAACTGGCCAGGGCTGCAGGTTTATTATGCTTTGTTTAATTAGTTGTTTGTGTCTATAACCAATGGTCCACCAAAGATTATACGTTAAATGATACAGAACTAAAAATTAGATGGCTTAAAAGTGTAAAATGATCAAAACGCTTAGGGTTTGAGGGAAGTGAGTTCATCTGTCATTAGGGGGTCTGGGCCCCCTGATCTTCCGTACATGCCGCACACTTACTATTGACTGTTGCTTTAAAGGGAGAAAGAGCTTTGGGAAGGGCTGAACTGAAACTACACCCACGGAGGGGAGGAACCTGTGCTTTGGGCATCATTCAACACGGGCTAATGTGAAAAACGCTTTGCCATGGCAGAGAGCTGACCCCTTCTGGAGTCAGGCCAAAGCTGTGTGATTAAGAGGAATGCAAACTTCTTTGGTGGATGAGACGCAGCAGAGTGGAGTGGGATGAAGCTGCAAGAGGGCTCTTCACAAGGAAATTAAATCCTCAGGATGCAGGAGTGTGTTTGGTTTCAGGGAGAAAACCAGGCAGAGCCCAAGAGGAAGCACCCACAACACTCACCTTCCCTCCCAACAGCATGGGGCCACACATCCCCACCCCGCAGCCCGCAGAGCTCTGCTCGGCTGGCCCAGGGGAAAGCCACCAGGATCTGTGACTGCAGGGGGCTGTAAAAGTCCTAAGGCACGGGAGGGGCCTGGGGACTGCATGGGAAGAGGGTACCAACTGGAAGGGCTTCGAGGGAGGAGACCATGAGAGATAAGAAGGAGAAGACAGGTGGAATCTCCTCTGCAGCCTCCTCCTTGAGGCTCTACCTTTTGGCTGAAGGACCAAGGACAAGGGGCAGGAAAACTCAGGCCCAGTTGCTACCTGCCATTGCCACCCCCCCAACTCTTCTCAACTTTCTAAGGTTGTAGGACACTGACCTATGTGTAAAAGTTGATTCAGTATGATCCAGCTTGAGGACAGTGGGTGAAGAGGTACCTGGCCAGGTGAGGAGTGTCCCCACCCATCTCATCCATGGTCAGGGGTGGTCAGTGCCTAGTTCTTACTTGGAGCACAACAGTGCAGAGTGTTTACCCCACTCTCACCCCCTAAAAAAACTTCAGTTTTATTTTTAATCCTCACACGAGGGTATTTTTTTCATTGATTTTTGGAGAGAATGGAAGAGAAAGAAAGAAACATCAATGTGAGAGAGATTGGTTTCCTCCCACACGTGGGAATCGAGCCTACAACTGAGGTACACGCCCTTGACCACAATCGAACCCAAGATCCTTCAGTTGTCGGGCCGATGCTCTAACCACTGAACCAAACTGGCTAGGGCAAAAGTTCAGCTTTGAACACACCAAGTTTTAAGGAACCTGTGAGTCAACCAAAAGGTGTCCCAGAGGTGACAGAAAGACTGAGCTGCAAGTTGGGGTGTCATCACCATATGGATGAAAGTGAATTAAGTCATCCAAAGAGAGTAAGTGGAGCGAAGAGAGGGCCTGTGACTGAACCTGGAGGGCACCAGTATTCCAGGGTGCCCTAGCCCAATCAGTGAAAGATCACAAGGACAAATCAATAGTCCAACAAAGTCAGGTGTATTGACCCACTGCAATGAGGGAAGCAACACACCAGGGGAACCATGTGATGTCCCACTGAACACAAAGGAAAAGAGAGTTACCATAGGATTTAAAAGAGAGGTGGAGATTAGGTGACTTATTTATTTATTTATTTGTTTAATTTTTATCCTCAAGATTTTATTGTAACATAATAAAACAAAATCTGAAGCTTAGAACCGGATCACTTGGCCCTTTCTCTTCTTATCTCCTCCCAGTTCAAAATGCTTGCATCTCTTAATAGCCAGCATTCTCTCAGATCTGCACTTGGACTCACGGCATTCAAGCCTCAGCACAATCTTTGTAGTTTCAGCCTTTTCGTGGAAAATTGGCTTAGTCTGCCCACCATAGCCACTCTGCTTCCTGTCATAACACCGCTTTCCCTGGGCATACAGAGAATCCTTGCCCAACTGTGTTGCTTTGTGGGGTTGATCCTTGCCACACTTCTTACAGAAAGTCCGGAGGGTTTTAGGAATGTTTACCCTAACATGTTCGTGAGAGCGCTATTGGCACAGAAAAGCTAGGTGACATTTAAATAAAGCAACACTTTGATGGCTCAAAGCAAACAGTTGTGTGTAAGGAAGCCAACATCAGGTCTGGACTGCTAAATGAATCCAGAGTCCTATTTGCTTGGAAAGAATAAAGTTAAGGTAAATGTGGAATATTATGTTCAGAAATCTTATCTGAATCTCTGCTCCTGGGTTCTAAGTCCTGTCCACTTAGTGACGGAGATCCTCCAGGTAGGAGTTTCAGTCTTACATAATTTCAAACAGCAAAGTTTCTCATAGCCTATGATTTTAGAAAACAAAGTTGCTCAGTGAGTAAAAGAGTAGTAGTCCCTGACCAGCCGGTGTGGCTCAGCGGTTGAGCATCCACAGATGATCCAGGCTATAGAGGTCTGATCCCGTCAGGGCACATGCTGTGGACTCGATCCCCAGTAGGGGGCCTGCAGGAGGCAGCTGATCAGTGACTCATCATTTATGTTTCTCTCTCTCTCTCTCTCTCTCTCTCCCTCCTCCCCCCTTCCTTCCTCTCTCGTTAATCAATAAAGACATATATATTTTTTAAAAGAATAAAATCAATTAAATAAAACTTTTTTATTCCTCCATGGCACTTGGCCACATGTCAAGTGTTCGGTAGCCACAGACTAGTCGCTACTGTATTAGTGCAGACAGATAACATTTTGCTCACTCCCCAAAAGTTATATTCAACAGCAGTAAGAGAACTGAGATGTTGATGCCTGTTGAATCTCGAAGGAGTTACGGGGATGAAAGCCCCGTGGGAGGTGCATACAGGTAGTGAGTAGTATTCTTTCTAAACGCAGCCCTAACAACGCCACTCTCCTCCTATGACAGCTACTGGGTAACTCGCGCGTACCTCGAACACACATGCCCAAGACCAGAGCACGTTGTTCAACTGCTTTAACTGGTTTCCCTGCCAGCATCAACCCACTACGGCCTCCAAACTCCATCTCCCACCATGCCCCGGGCCCTTCTTCTGCCTCTCTTGTCTCTTGGGCTTCTGGGAAATGTAGTTTTTACAGCGTTCCAACTCCAGAAGGGTTCTACCCCCGAACTAAGGCTCCCATGAGGCAGTGCGCGGGCCATTCTGGTCTGATTCGCAGCGGCCGCCGTGTCTGCCGTGAGGGGGCGCCAGAATCGGCCCCCGAGGTTTAGGGAAGCGGCGGCGGAGATACTGGAGTCCCGGGAGAGGAGGGGAATAGAGACGCCGCTGTGCCTCTTCCTGCCGCTCCTCAGGTCGCCGCCGCTCCGGGCCAGTGAAGACGCCTCAACCAAAGCGGAGCTGGCAGGGGCCCCGGGAGCTCACTAACATACTCGGGACAGCGTCCCACGGCGCAGGCAGGGCACCATTGGGCAGCCCCGGGCTGGAAGCGCAGGCGCAAATGCAGGACCTCGCGGCCTCTGTAAACACCAAAGAGCGCCTGCGCCGGCTGAGCGACCCGCGACGGACACCTGGGGGCGCCTTGGCCAAGATAACAGGATTAGTAGCGTAACGGTCGGTTTTTTTCTTTTGTCGTTTATTCAAGGTTTGCAAAGCACAGCCCCCTTCATTGCCTTTCTTAATTCGATCCTCACAGCAGCCCTGTTACAAATTGGGCAACGGGTCAGAGACAGTCACACAGCTGGAGCCCTAGTGTAACAGAGTGTGAGGGACCAGAGATGGTTCAGGATTCACAGACTAGCCCCGGCTCGGCCTCTGACTTACTGTGTGACCTTGGTTAATGCTGGTCCCTGGGGACCTAAGCCTTCTCATTTGTAAATGGAAATAGGTTGCTGAGAGGATCAAATCAGATGCAGGAGAGAGACTAAATTCCCAAGCAGTGTATAAGGGCAAAATATTACAGTCAGGTGACTGCAGATCGAGGGACCCATTTCCTCATTCTACAAATTGCAAAACTGAGGGCCCCAAAAGGGGCAGGAGATTGCCCCACAAGTCCCAGCAGTCTGTGAGCAAGGGCTCCTGCCTTTGGTCCTGGAGGCTTTCCCTGCACCCCAAGGGTCAGTGTCTTTGTTGGATACAGTCTTAGAAACGCAGACTACTCCGAGGGCCTGGAGGAGGCCCTAGCCCCAGTCCTACCCATCCTGGGCCTAATGGAGGAGGGCCCTGCTCTGCTGAGATGGCTACAAGAGGCAGGAAGCTAAGAAAGATCTGGAGAATCCTGGAGAAAGAGAACAGTGTAGCTGGAGCTGTACAGACCCTGCCTCTCAGGACCTGGACCCAGGTAAGGGAAGAAGCCCAGTTGGGACAGATGTGAGGATAATTCTAAGGGCACAGATCTGAGTAGACAGGAATAGGGGGGCACTGGGCTCTGTTTCTGAATGTGGGAGGAATTGGGCACTCAGGTGACTCTAGTTGGGGCCAGCAGTGTTAAGGAGAGGAAGTAATACACATTGGACTGAGACTGCAGGAGCCACTCTCCCAGTCAAGCGGAATAGTCATGTGGCACCACGGGCACACCATATCACCCCCAAGATCAGGCAGCTGCCCACCAGGGAAGTGAACTTTTCTCTGTCCCTGAAGTGGTGGAGCTGGGCTGTACCCAGGTGTTTGTCTCTGGAATGTTCTTAGAGATTCTGGGGATAGGTGAGGGAGGGGCTGGGAGACCCTGAGGTCTGGTTGCAGATGGGGCCTTCTCATGAAAGGCAGGTGCTTGTAAATATGGAAATCCAAGATCCTCCCACATCCAAGTATCTAATTCTCTGGGTCTTCATTTATCATCTCTGTTTCCAGTGGAGGGAACTGAGGCTAAAGAAGAAATGGACTCTCTTAAGGACACACAGCAGTTGGGGTAGAACTGAACTAGGATAAGGATCTTTCCATTACATGGCAGTGATCAAACATCTTCATCAAACATTTATTGAGTCTCTAATGTATACTCGGGGAAGAGCTACCTTGGGGTAGCAAGCAAAAGAGGATTGTAGTCAAACCTGGCTTTTAACCAGCCTTCCCAGTGATGTAATGCTGTGACCTTGTGTCAGTCACTACCCTTCTCTGAGCATTGAACTGTCTGTAAAGTGTGTGTGTTGGGGGGGAGGTGGGTAGGGAACCTTCTCCCGGGCTGTCTCGAGGTATAACTATGAATTAAAGATGTTAAGACTTGTTAAGTGCATAGAACAGCACCAGGCACATGGTACAAGCTCAGTAAACATTATCCACCATTGTTACTGGTGAGTACAGGGTTGAGGCTAACTGCAGACAGAGTTCTTCTAGAGCCAAGCAGGGGCAGAGATGCTGCAGCCCCAGGTCTGCTCATCTCTCAGATACCTACACTCTGTGCCCTTAGAGCCTATGTTTCTGGAAGTCAAGGGAGAAACCCACACCCCCATTTCTTCCTCTGGCACTGGGAACCTGTCAGGGAACAGGAACCTCAAGTGTTTACACTGTTTACACCTCCTCATGCAACATGATTCCCTTCCCTACAACCTGAGGTCTAGAGTTAAGCTGCACATTACAGCCCTGGACAGTCAGACCGGGACCAGACTCTATATTCTTTCCAGCCCCTTCATGGTGTGGAGTCATGCACAACACTTCGTCCTGGCAGAAGTAAAAAAAGGCTGCCTGCAGTGGCTTGGCCTGTGTCCCCTGAATAGAGCAAAAG